ATACTTTCAGGCTTAATAGTTACAATCGATAGTTTAGGAACGAAATAAATTTTGATTTATATATTTATAGACTGAATAAACTCAATTGATAGTTTATGAACTAAATAATTAATTTGACAATAGTTAAGACATATATAAATTGTAATAAACTCAAAATAGAAAGTGTAAATTACACTGACACCCCTAAGGTTTTTATTTAATATAGATCCCCTTATATTTGAAAAATTACATTCTCATCTCTGATGGTTATAATCTCATTACAAATTGTCTCTTCAATTGCTAATATCATGCCCTAAAATTTTTTAAATGACCATTTTGCTTTTTTTTCTTACCATTTATTCTTTTTTTCATCATGACTACATTCTACAACTTTCTATCGTTAAATTCTACGTAAACATATTCTTATTAAGTGATGATATACAAACATAAAACAAAACATCCATAAACATGATTTACATTTACAACAATATCACTATCACAATATTTTTATAATATTTTTTGTATAAATTTTTATATATGAATAGAATTTTTTAATTTTATTTCCTCCAACATTTTCCTTTCTTGCCTATTCACCCATATTTATTACAGTATTACAAACACTGTCATTCACATTTATTACAGTATTATTGAATTTTTTGTATTTTATATATTTTTTATATTTGGTGAATTTAAAAAACAAATCACAAAATATTATACTTCTTAAATATATGTAGATTACGTGTATCTAAAAAATAAAATAAAAAATTGTTTAAAATATGTTTAAAAAAATCAGTATAAATAAAAAGAACACAAAAAATAAAATAAAAAAATATTTTTCTTTTTTGTGAAGCCAAAAAAGATGATTGTTGTTTATCTTGAAATGACATAAATAAAATATTAATATTATTTTATTATTTTATATGTATTAAGAGAGAAAAATGTCGTTTTAATTTGATAAGAGAATAAGCTTGTGTTTGGCAAGTGGGTTTACAGACTTTTTTGGCTATTTTAGCCACAAAAAATAAAATAGGTTATTTTAGCCATAACAAACAAAACATCACATCTAACCCATAATCATTACATTCTTCTCTCACAAAAAAACTCAAAAAACTCAAAAAGCCAAAAAGCCCTTCCCAAACCAAGCTTTTAAGCCCAGGCTAAAATAACCAAAAAAGCCAAAAAGTCAAAAAGCCAACCCACTTCCCAAACGGAGGCTAAGTGTAATTCATTAAATGTGAATAGAAAATCTGTATTGAATAGAAACTTTGGAGGGTGTTAGTGTCATTTAACCAAATAGTGAAGAAAAAATCAAGTGCAATGAAGCTCAATTACTAGGACATCATGATATGTAGATAGAGTGCCCCAGTGAGGCCATCGAGTGGTGTGGGTTGAACCACCTAATAAAAAAGATGTACATGGAGGGACTCACCATAGCCGAGCCCATGGAAAGCCTGACAGAGTCCTGGTCCCCACTGATCCACACACGAAAGCCCAGTGGACCTCCCCCCAAAACAACACAACTCCCAATGCAGCAAACGGCGTGTATAACGGAAAGCGACTTTCCTTGACGGAGACCGTCAACTCAAAAACTCCCAGTCAGTCAGAGAGTTTAAAAAAAAAAAATTGGTAGCATCTCCTAACACGACAGTAGCTGTCACTCCACAAAAGTCACAGCCAATGAACAACAATCTCTCGTTGACTATTTCCGACCCAAAACTGCTCGGTCATCGTGTAATTTCCAAGTCTATCCTCTCGTAATTAAGGATGTGCAGACTGTAATTCGGACCATTTGAAAGGAAAATTATAAATTAAATGAAGAATTAACGAATTGATCGATTGATAAATTATGATTTCAGTAATTTTAAATGGATTGACGGATTAAAAAATATTATAACTAATTATCAAGTATTGTGTAATATATAATACTAATAATTTGTATAATATTTTTCATATGCATAACTATTAATTTGTAATAAATTTCACATATTAAAGCTCTTTCACGCTTATTTTTACTTTGATATTTTATTATAGATTAAAAAATATATATGATTTAACTATTACATAACAGAACGGTTTCAAAGACGTATTATAAATTTAAAATTTAAACTATGATTAGTAAATAGAACGGCGTAAATTAATACAAATCGGTGTAATTTTAATTGATTGAGCAATATTTAATACACCCTTACTCGTAATCGCATCAAACGATTTGTTTATTCATTCCTTGCATTGACACTGTAGCCCGAATTACAAGGTTTATTTTGAAAAGTTAATTAGAAGTTTATTTTTTTATTTTTTTTAATTTAAAAAAAATAAAATAATAAAAAAATAATGTGATTCAAAATAAATTAAAAAATTAAAAATTAACTTCCAATCAAGTTTTTAAAAAAAAAAAAAAAAAAAAAAAAAAAAAAAAAAAAAAAAAATCGTGTGTAGAAAAAAAAAAAAAATTTATAATAACGGTGGCATCTTATCATTCGCACATAATATTATCAATTAATATGCATGCATGACAATGTGGTATTATGATTAAGCTTTCTGGGAGAGAGTGCGTGTATGTGAGAAAGAGAAGAGAGGGAACACCATTGGGGTGGTAGTGGCATGTAGGGTGTGCGCGGTTGTGGGTCGGTGTAATTTGAGAGATAAATAGAAATCGTATAGCAGGTGGTGGATTGATAAAAGTGTTACTAGAATTCGTCATTTTCCTTATCAAGAACCGGCGGTTCAATTGATAAATAATGACAGATTTACCTTGGCGGTTCGGACAGATTGGCGGTTTATGAAAAATATAACTCAAATTACAAAACTTAAATCAAAGAATAAAAAAAAGACGAGAGATACCGTGATGTTAAGCATTTTGCGAAACTTTCTTCTGATGCAGCAAGTGTAGCAACAACATAATAATATCAACGACTATGCCATCAGTTCATTACAATCATTTGTGGAAGCTACAATGATCAAATACAATACATAAAATTAATATCATTCAGGTTTTACAACATATTGAAAATGTTTACTGTTGAAAAGTATTTAGATTGAAAAGTGAGCTGATGCAAGTTTGCAACATGGCCAGAAAAAAAAAAAAAGATTGAAAAGTGAATTGGAATCCAACTTTATTTTGGATTACTGACATCTTGAATTCCCCTCGAGCAGTAATGTAATACTATATTCTAAGGTATAGAACAACAAGCAAACTTAAGTAAAAAAGAATTTTTAGAATCTTATAAAACATGATTTAATAGCGGTGCGGGTTGGTGCGGTTTGGAAGAAAAATAGAAACCGGCGGATTGATAAAAGTGTCACTAGAATTTGTCATTTTTCTTACCAAAAACTGGTGGTTCGATTGGCAAAAAGAATAACGAATTTGCCTTGGCGGTGCGGTTCGGTGCAGTTTCGGCGGTTTTGGCGGTATTATGCACACCCCTAGTGGCATGGAAAGGATAATGCCTTTAATATAAGTGAGGAGAATTCGATTCTTAGGCCTCGTTTGGGAATATATTATTTTATTAATTTTTTAATTTTTTAGTTAAAATATGAGGTAAAAAAAACTTGTACGTTTGAAGTGATTTTTGGACTTTTTACAAAAAGATGTGCAAAAAGTATAAAAAAAAAATAGAATCTTTGACTTTTTGATATACGTTATAGGCTTTTCAATTTTTTTAATAACTTTTTAACTTTTAAGCTAACATAATTACTTGCCAAACGAAGCCTTAAAATTACAATTAACGTTTTATTTATTTGGTGAAATTGAATGTATTGCATTACGTTCATGATTTTACCCCATGTTTAGAGTTAACACATTCTTTATTTATTTCGATGATGGGTCCTTTATTTTGAATTAAAATAAATCTAACCATAATATCGGAATTTAGGGGTTATAAAAATGGGATATAGTCTCCGTTTGAGAAGTGGGTTGACTTTTTAATTTTTTGGCTTTTTAACTATTTTAGCCTGGGTTATTTTAGTCTGATTTGGGAAGGATTTTTTGACTTTTTGACTTTTTTAGCTTTTTTTGTGAGAGAGGATTGTAATGATTATGGGTTGGATTTGATGTTTTGTTTTTTGTGGCTAAAATAGCCTATTTTGTTTTTTGTGATTATTTTAGCCAAAAAAGCCTGGCTTTTTTCTTTCCAAACGGAGCCATAATGTCACTGCTGTGCGTGACTGTTGTGTAATCCGTAAAATTTATTTCGAGTCTTATTTTGATGATCCGAATCATTAAAAATTTTAAAAATACTGAGAACAATATATTTATAAAAATCAAGTTGATCGAATATCAATAACATATTCATCAAATAATATTTGTATTTAGTTTGATATATATATATTTGTTTTTTTATATAAAGATGTTATTTAATGAACAAATTATTAATATCTAATTAACTTAATTTTTTATAAATATATAACTCTTAATATTTTTAAAATCCGAAATAAGTTTCACAAGACGCACAACTGTTGTGCGTGAAGTGACACTGGCTCCACAAAAATGAGTCCAAGGAGCACCTCTTTTTTATGTTAAAAAAAAAATTAATGCTATATGGAAAAAAGAAAGGGGGGACCAACTTTTATGGGTTTTGTCTTTATTCCGTAAGCGGTGCGAATGTTGGAAGCATAGGAAGCAAAACCAAAACCCATTTTGGCTGAAAATGGCGGCACCAAATTTAAAAAAATAATAATAATGGCTCATGTATTCTATTCTATTTAAAGATTGTTTAGAAAGATCTAAATATATATATTTTTCATTTTATTTTATTTTTAAAAAATATATAAAAAAATAAAAAAATGATGTATAAAAAATAAAAGATAAATTATTTTTAAATTGCGAAAAACTTTTTTTGAGCATATCAGCCTTTTTTAGTAGATCCTTGCAGCTTATTTTTTATTTTTTTTTCACATTTTCAGCATTTCTTTTGTTTTTTTTAGTTAGCATTAGTCATATATTGGAAACCAGTGTTGGTTGCGGTGATATAAAAAAGAAGACTGGGGTTCCAATATATATATATATATATATATATATAATATTGGGTTTTGAGGGGTTTTGAAACTTTGAATTGAATGGGTGGTGTTGTGAAGATGGGGAACGGAAATACGAGTGGGTTGGAGGATGGTACGGAGAAATCAGCATCAGCATCAGCATCAGGGTGTGATGTTGGGTTGGGTCTGAGGATGCAACACACTGAATCCTTCCCTAGTAGAACGATGATGGAGACACCTCATCCCCCTCTTCCTTATCATCATCTTAATGCTGCTGCTTCTCTTTCTGATAGCATGGGTGGCGTTGGTTTCGGTGGTGATGGCGGTAGTAGCGGCAGTGGTAGTGGTGGGCCCATTTATTACAACCTAAGTAACAACAACCAGCTGGCATGTTTAAGCGATATATACGATGTTGTCGGTGACGCTTCTGTTTCTGGTGGTGCTGCTGCTGCACTAGTAGTGCCAAGGACTTTTCATCCTTTTGCCTCTGATTCTTTTTTCAAATCCTCCTCCTCAGGTAATCTCTCTCTCTCTCTCTCTCTCTCTCTCCAAAGTGTCACTACTCTTCAATTTAATTCATCTATACTGTAGTGACTTTTTCATTTTACTCAAGGCAGAAAAAAGGGGTGGTTGATTAATTTATTTTTTTTAATTTGATATTTGGTTGCAGGAAGAGGTGGTGGAGGAGGAGGTGGCGGCATGGAAGCTCCTGCTAAAGTTCCTTTCACAGCCTCTCAGAGGCAAGAGCTTGAGAGACAGACCAACATCTACAAGTACATCATGGCCTCTATCCCTGTTCCTCCTGAGCTCCTTCTACCCATTACCAAATCCCCATCACCACTTCCCTCTTCCCATTCCCAATCCAACAGTAAGCTCTCTCTTTTTTTTTTTTTTTTTTTTGCTTTCTCTACTTCATACTATCATTATTACTTTGTTTCATTTATGTCTGTCTATTCATTTTCCAATTTACTTTTTGACTTTTCTCATCTGGGATGGGCTTCTTTTTCCAATAAATCTCTCACTATTGTTTCTAATCTAACATAAATTTTGCCCCTTTTGGTTTTAAGAATTATTTATACTATATAATTTTTCAGTGGGTTCTTTTGTAGGCAATAAATACTGTTTGTCTGTGTTGTTTGCTTTGTTTGCAGTGAGTGGTTTGGATTTGAAATTTTCAAGAAGCTCAGATCCAGAGCCTTGGAGGTGTAGGAGGACAGATGGGAAGAAGTGGCGGTGTTCGAGAGATGTGGCACCGTATCAGAAGTACTGTGAGAGACACGCCCACAAAACTAGACCCCGTTCAAGAAAGCCTGTGGAATTACAGCCCCACAACACCCAAACCAACAGCAACACCACTAACACCCACCCACTTGTCAACCTTTCTACTACTAACAAAACTGCTCACCCCTATCAAAAGCCCATCTTTCACATCCCTACCTTGCTCTCTGGTGCAACCCATGCCCAACCCAGGTATGTTTTGCTTTCAAATTTTCCATCTGTTTCTTACAACCCAAATTATATTATGCATTCTTTGTTTATTGAATTTGTTAAAAAAAAAAAAAAAAAAAAAAGTAAATAAAATGAAAGAAATTTAGTAAACTTTCATTGTTGAGGTGTGAAGTGCAGAGGAAATAAAAAATAAAAATTCTATGTTTATTTGGTTACCAATCAAAATTGAATAAATACAAGGGATTTCATTTTCCGTTTTCTTAACATTAGTTTCCCTGATTTCATTTATTATGTATTGGTCATTTCATTGTTCTTATCTTTTATGTGTGAAGTGCATCAACTTTTAACACTACACAAACAAAGAAATTTCTATGTAAATGAATGTGACAACAGCTTGATATTGAATGACTAACCTTTATTTATGGAATGATGCCATTTTTTGTATTACAAATTGACACGATGGATGCAATTTAGGGGCCACATTAGTTTTATAAAGTATAAAGTTTGTGAGTGTAATATATATTCTCTGTATGAAAATGATATACAAATTTATTGTCTATATTTTTTATACTTACTTTTTACACTTATAAAAAAGATGATTAACTAATGATTATAAAAAGAATAAAGATTGGGACCCCTTTCTCCCACCCCTTTTGACCCCCTTTCTTTTTTGATTGGTCACTTTTTGTTTTTCTGTTTCTTTTTTTTTCTCCTCCTCCAATCACCACCCGTCACATGTGTGTGGGGTGGTAGGGGTTGAAATTTGAGGGGTCTAAATCACTGCTGTTATAAAAAAGATGATTAACTAATGATTATAGAAGATGAGAGAGAATTGTCTTACATATTCAAATAGCCTACTCATTTTCTATTAAGTAAATCAGTTACAATTTGATTTGTGTTTGTATTTGTGATCAATGAAGGTGCACGGAGTGGTTCATGAAAGGGGACCCAATCCCAAGTGGTAATTTGAACCAACAATGGCAGCATCTGATGCAATCATCATCATCAGGGGAAGGAGGATTGAAGAGTTACAACGAGGACGAGCATAATAACAGAAATGTGTCTGTTTTTCAACAGCATTACGAGGAAGAACAACAACGACAACAATCAATGAACGCGAACTCTTACATTGATATGGAGGATGGCCAAAGATTTCAAAATAAACCACCTAATGAACATTGTTCCTCATCATTACTTGGAGGTTTATTAAATACTAACCAAACACAGACTACTACTAGTACTACTACTAGGCGTTTCATTGATGCTTGGTCATCAGCAGAGGGAGAGGAGATAGATCATGAAATCAGCAAGTGCTCTGTTCCTTCAACCAGGAGGAATCTTCCATTATCATCTCTTACTCTTTCAATGTCGGGTGCTGATAATAGAATTGAAGAAAGTGCAAATGACCAAATGGGTGTTTCTGGGATGATGAGGGATCTCGAAAGAGAGAGTGAAAGTGGTGATGGGGGTTTCAAATCTCAGTGGCTGCTTAATCCTGTTCCGTGGATGGGTTCACCACCTGGTGGACCATTAGGTGAGGCCTTGTGTCTCGGCATTGCTAGTACTGCAAAAGCTGCTTCGAATGTACCTTCTCCTCATGACTACAGCACCACGACCACGACCACAAGCAGTTGCAGCAAAAGCTCATGTGACGATAGCGGCCATGGGTTGCATTTTCACTAATGGTACGTCCACTCTGAGTTGAAGATCCAATCAGAGTTTCTACAAATGTAATTTTTTTCGGTTCTTGGTTTATTTGTTACTATTGTTGCCTATGATACTTCTTTTTGCCATTGTTTTTCCATCATTGCCTGTGGGAAACAAGAAGCAAGCACAATTGCAAGATTCTTTTCCTTTCTAACTTGCCTCTTGTATGCTTTTAGTTTAGAAATTGAACCAAGAAAATTTCAAACCTAGGATTGCATTATCTAGTAAAGAGATGTAAGATCTCTTCTCTTTTATGTCCCCCTAACATTTTATTGGTTGAAAATGTTGAACATGCCGGTAAATATATTCTTATAAATCAATAAAAAAATTTATCTAGTAAAGAGAAGTAAGATCTCTTCCTCTTTTTATGTTCCCCTAACATTTTATTGGTTTAAAATGTTGCCCATGTCAGTAAATATATTCTTATAAATCAATAAAATTTAAGAAAAAAAAGAATGATACATGAAAAGAAGAGAGAAGATCTGAATTTTAGCAAAAATGGTAGTTATTTTATATTTGATTGAATAGTGATTCCAATATGGACTTGGCTCCTCATTAGATATATTCATTAGGAAAAGTAAAAACAATAGTATATGAATTAGAACATTTAAAAGATCGATCAAACCACTCCATTTTATGGAATAGACTAATCTTTACTGTTTGAAGAAATGGAGTTGATCATTTAAAGAAGAAGAAGAAGAAGAAGAAGAAGAAGAAGAAATAGAGTTGTTGTTGTGCCTTGATTGTACCTTTGGCGGGGCTATTCTGCTTCAAATTGTTTGTTTTGTAGGATTTATTCAATACATCATTTATACGATTAAATATCTCACATTTGTTTTTTTTTAAAAAAAAAAGAGAAAAAAAAAAAGACGGCCTATTCTCATAATCACATTATTATTGTTATTATTTTATTTTATTTTATTTTTATAATTATTTTTAAATGTGATCCTTGCATGTGACTATTGATATTCAATCAACCTATTTTTTACGTTACTTATCTTATGACATTTTAAGTGAAGTAGTGCCTATATAAACATAGATGATGTATAGAATTAATATAAAGTTAGATATGGTTTATTGTGATCGACTTTTTTAAAATAGGGTAAATTACACTTGCACCCTTTGAGGTTTGGATTTAATACACCCTCTGACATTTGAGAAATTACACCAATCCTTTGTCATTATAATTATTTAGACAAAATAAAGATATTGAACTCATACACTCTCTTTTCTTGCTTTGCTATACTTTTGTTTTTTTTTTCAATGTAATTTTCTCTATTTTTCTATTAGGAGTTATTACTTTTTATTTAAGGAGTGGGGTTTGTAAAATAAGACTATTAACCATAGGAATGAGAATGTAATTTCCAGAACATCAAGAAATGTGATGTAATTGGATCAAATCTTAGGAGGTGTCAGTGTAATTTACCCTTTAAAATATTACTGGCAGTGCACATGCATTACATGTGTTTTTCCCCCAATATTCATGAATTATCTATTAAACGATAAATAGATATTTGTTGGTTTTTTTGGCTTTTAAAAGTTAGTATTGTAATTTTAAGCGTGCCAGAAAGGATCGATCAGTTTTTACAAAAGATTAATTGCTAACTAATTATCAGACGATTTTGTCTTAGTTCTCTTCGCCTTAATGAAGAGGATTTTTATTGGTGGCCTGTTTGGGAGAATTTAGTTAATAAAAATTAAGTGAAGAATAATTCCAGAATTTCATTAAGTACATTGAAAAACTTACAATGATCTAACTCAGTCTCGTAGAGGTTTGCAGTAACAAGCTATTTGAAACTACTCCTATAAATGAAATGCAGTTCATGAATTTGAAGTACAGAAATGTAAAAAACTGTAAAAACTGGAAGGGAAAACAAAGTAAATAAAATTGGTTTTTTTATTTGAGTCTGGATCTCTCATTCTAGGGCCTTTTCTGCTATTTAAACTTTTCTAATTGTCAAAATGTCCTCCCATGATTGCTGAACATGTTCTCTCACAGTCAATCCCACTACGCCATCTTTGCAGTTAGGCTTCCCTCATAATTTTGAATTTGAACTTTGTGAGTAGCCGTTATGCCACATCACTTTATATCCCTCAATTGTTCCAGTGCTACGTAGATCTATTATTATCAATACAGGCTGACACGTGAACTATGGTTGGCAACTTGTATTAACTCTCCAAATTCCCCTATTCATGCTACGTGTTGAATTGTGATTGGTTTTTACAAATTATACAGCCAACATTACCCTCTCGCACTAATATACTCAATACTTGGTGATATTAGTGGATCAAGGCACTTTACCCTAGGACGTGCATAGGCTTTACATCTTCTTAGAATTGTAATCGACGTCAATCATTGCAATGTTTGTATTGCATTAAATTGTCTTCTATGCCTTGAACATTTCCCACTATCTGAGCATTCGAAAAGGCTGATATAGTCCTCATGGCCAAGCAAACCTTTTCTTACATTGATCGAGCATACGAAGAGTCTATGGAAGATGATTATAGGCCTCGAAAGAATCTCAATGCATTTATTGATTACACCTATCCGCCTCAATTTATGCAAGTTATGGAAACCTTCGCAGCGTACTAACCTTTACACCCAAAGTTTGCCAATTATGAACCATTGGATCAAGCATTTGCAAAAATGGATCATGGAAACTCTTCTTCTGCCTCACCATCTTTTGCATGGGACAGTTACTTTTTCCTCTACCCCACCAATCTCTGCATAGGACACAACTGCTCCTTCTTCCTCCAGGTCTACTGGCTGGGGAAGCTGGCCAGAACCTGATGAATCCAAACTAAGAAAGCAAATTCACCATCGATTCATCAAATTCGCTAATCCTCTGTCTATCCCTCCTTTTGCTTAGAGCTTGGTGGTTTTCCCCTATGTATCCATCGATCGCCGAAGCAGTCTGGAAGACAACTTACTTATAACGTGGTACACATCTTCCATACCTACGAAGATAGTTGTAGACCGCCCGAACTGCCTCCGCACGCGAGGGGGTGAATTGGGTTCTAGCTACTACAGTTCGGACTCCTGTCACAGTTCTGAATCTAATCTCACAAAGTGCAATGTAAGACTGATAAATCACCAAAGAGTCCAAATCCGGCAATTGGTTTTGAAAAATCAATTTTGAATCAAAAAGCGCCAAACATGGACTGTTTTGCCAGATTTCAGAGTCGCCACCAAAATATTTTGTTTTAGGAAATTTAGGAAACTTTGACTCGTGCCTAAGGCCACGTGTCCGTCATCACCTAAGTTGCCTCGGCTCAGGAACTTGGGTACGAGGAGGAAAGGTTATGAAATGAGCACCCCCGCTCGCCCAATCAAAGGATCGGCCTCTACTAACATGATATGTCGTTTTTTGAAAACACGTGTGTTATTATTCCGGTTTATTAGCTAACCTTACTATGTGATGCGCACAGCACACAAGTATAGACTAAATCGCTCAATTTGGAACAAAACATCTTATGTTTGTTTTTCGAAAGTGGTTTGAAATTGCTACTCGCAAGTAGGCTAAAGCACGGATTTGCAACCCTCAAGTGAGCTTAAAACAACATGATTTTGCCACTCTGCAAAGTGGGTTTAAAACTCACAATCAATGAATTGTTCCAATTCAAGCAATGAAGCCTTCTTCCATAGTCATTTATGCAGTTATAGCAGTTAAGCAAATAGCTTCATGGAAAGCATGCTAACATGGCAACATACACATCTCATGCAGTATGCTAAAGCGTAAACACTTACAGTGTACTCCGAGCCAAAAAAAAAAAAACTAATTAGAAATCAATGCATGATTCTAGCTATGTTAAGATGCCCTAATGCAACACACGCTAAATGCAACTAAGTAGGCTCGACTATCTAAGATGACATACGAATATCACAATTGATATATGTATTCAAATAGGAATTGAAATACAATGCAGTTTGAATGATGCGCCAAGCCTGGTGCATCCAATACGAATGAATGATGCACACATGCAAAACATAAGGTATGCTAATTGAAATATACCCTAAACTAACCATCAAAAGCTGGTAAATAAAAGGGAGAAAGACGTGGGGTTGGAAGACATTCGCACACACACGCACACTTATTACAGTATTTGTCCTCTCGACGGAGGGTCCAAATAAAATGAAAGCTAACTAACTACGCTAATTAAGCTAACTATTACAAACCAACTAATTAACTAACTATTCTGGCTAATTAATTATTACAAACCAAATTGAATAGCTAACTAATCTAAACTAATTAGAATATTACAAAGCACTAAGCTAAATTAATTACAGCATAGGTAATTAACTACAACTAGCTAACAAAAGCGATAAATGGCCTCGCGGGCGTGGGAGATATGCATGCTCAGTTGCGTCGCCTCTGTTTGCACTCTTTTGATCCTTTGAAAAGTACACCGATTCCCATATTGCTTCTTTCTGATCTCAATAACACCTTGAGGGCTGAAATTCCTTCTACTGTTGCAACAGAGCACAGACAGGGGCAAGACAGTATATTTGCAAGGAAATGTATACACTTCCACACTCCTTATCATATCTCAAGCTCAAAGGAGTATGGCACTTGACTCTCGAGCCGCCAACCAAGCATTTTCAATGCATGATGGCCAAAGAATCAAGCTTGTGCAAACTTAATAAATGCACACCTAAGACTCGAAAGGCCTCCACCCTATCATGCACAATCAAGGGCGTCGGCGACCGGGAAATGTGACAGGTTTCATCACTTCAAGTATGAAACGTGTCTCATTCCCCGTGTTTGGATTAACATCTGATCCAAACACATGCAATGCAAACAACATGCTTATCTTAGCACGTTTTACTTGATCCAATTTTGTTTACACATTTTAAGCTTACCCAATTAATCCTTTAATTGATTAAGTCCAAAAGTGAAAGTCCTCTAATTTGAAAGATGAACCAAGCCACAAGTTTCTTGAGTATGAAAGAAACATCATGCCGTTGAGCATGAACGCCTCAATTTCGTGCTTAAACCAACAAAGGGCTTAAGACCTCTTTCAAAGTGATACAACAAATGAAAGATGGCATGCAATAGAGTGCAATGGCATGTATTTCAGCACTGAAATGACATGCTAGACAACATCAAATCATGTAACAATGCATGCAATGCATGCTAAGAGCCGAAAGCATTGAAGCAAGCAAAGAGCATAACACTATAGGCATGCACTACTAAGCACAAATGACCAAACCAACCCCGGACAGAGGTTAAACATGCCAAAATAGTGGCCTAATCATGTTGAAAATG